CAGGACTGCCTTTGTCAGGGGCGACAATGCACCAACCACCTTGGAATGGAGTGAGAGGAAAAAACCCTCCCACTCACCCCCAGAATTATCCGTGGAAACAAAATGGGAGAGGCTGGAGCAGGTGTCTTTGGAAGGACACCAGGCAGATGGGAATGTTGAGATCCATAGCAACTGCCTTTCAACAGTGGGATCTCAAAGCACTGTACAAGCCCCTCAGCTCCCTGTCAGATGGGGGGGGCGGGTTTTATACTCCCCTACTTTATGGCAAGGGGAAACTGAGGCACAGCAGAGAGGTCATTTTTTTTTAAAAATGACTGATATAATTTGTATTGCAGTAGAGCCTCAGGGCTCTGCTCAAGGCTTGGGAGCTCACTGTGCTTGGTGCTGAGAAACGGGTAGTCAGAAGACAGTCCCCAGAGAGCTCTCAAGCTAGGTTTCTGACAAGACAACAGAAAAACTGGGGCAGGAAGAGGGCAGATGTGCTAGCACTAAAAACGCAGGTTTCCCAGAAGTACTGTTCATCTCCGCTCGCCCCGGGCCCAGCTGTGTTCAGTCGGCAGCATCCTGTGGGCACTGCAACAGAGATGAGTCTTAAGGAGGGGTCTGGAGAAAGCGCTGCAGTTGATGGGCGCAGAGTCAGCTGGACGCCCGTGAAATTGGCGGAGTGGAGCAGGGCTTGCACTGAATGCAAACACCAGCCACCAGGAAACCAGGTGCCCGTAATCGATGCTGGAGGGATGGTGGGGACAGTCTAGTCACCGGGGGAAGCAGAGTAGCTTTGAGGAGATTTGGGACTTGGATATGAAACTGCAATGTGGTAATTACTGTGGCTAATTGACTCTCGTGAAGAGAACAATTAAGGGCACTGTGGCTCAGTCCGTGCCATAAGGCCCAGATCCTCAAAGGTATATAGGCTCTTGACGCCCATTGATTTCAGTGGGATTTAGGCATGTAAATACCTAACTGGCTGGTGAACGTGCTGGGCCACATCTGTTTATTGTAGTTATCACTGGGTAAAGTCCTGACCCCCCCACCAATGTGGCAGAAGGATTTTCTACCCCCACAGCCAGGGGGATCAGAGGAATTTGGAGCCAAGAGGGGAACCCCCACACCAGTTCCAGCCATCTCGCCAGGAGGAGGCCAGAGGTACCATGGGGTTTGGAGGCGAATCTTCTGCTGGAGTTGACACTTTCTGATGTCTGTCCGATAAGCATCAAGACACTGGCACGTTCCTACTTGGGGTGCCCCAGAGCTCTACGGGACATGGGGCTTCCCCGGACACAATCCCATAAACTCTAGACCACTTTTGTCCTTTTTCACTCCTCCTTGCATCACCTTGCCCCTCCCTCTGGCCAAGATGGACTGCACACTGCTTCCCCTAGGCCCACTGGCTCCCCAGAAAGTGACCCAGGACTCCCTATGCCCCTCAGAGGCTGAGGAGGCTTCCCATGATAGGCTCACTGGCTGATCCCGAGAGAGAAAGATTCCCCCTTAAGCAATCGCTCGGTAAAGCATCCCGGCAGCCTTTGGGTGTCACTGCAGGGAAGCCATCTCCTTGGGAGGGTCCACGCGCTATCGTAGCTGCACTTGGGACTATTACCAGCCAGCTGCAGTCCGTCTGGGCCTGATCCTGATGGCGGACACTGAAGTGAGTGGGAGTCAGGGGTGCTTGGCTCATCTCAGGATTAGGCCCTTGTTGTGTAGCTCAGCTAATTAGACACCAGCCAACCCATAGAGCATTAGCTTTGCCATGCCAAAATACTGCTCCATTTGGTGTTCTGCTCTTGGCAACAGCCATTACCTGATGCTTCAGGGGCTGGCAAAAGCAATACACCTAATGCAGCCAGACTGGCATATGTTGCTGTTTATGGGCGCACGGGATTTATTCTTGATCCCCATAGCTCCTCTCAGCACATGCCATGTGCCCGGCCGTTTGAATACCACAGTACTGCAAATGACACTGGCCATAAAATCATTTGTCCCCTTTTAGAATCTTCCAGTGGTATCGGACTTTCAGTCATACTGCGGCTAAGAGTTCCACAGGTAGATGATTAGCTGCATGAAGAACTAGAGGATCTGCAGTAGTTGGGTACAGGCAAATGGCTAAGACAATGGGACAGACAAGGCATTGAGTGGTTAATTTGCGGTTCTCTCTATGAGCCTTTCTGACATATATCTTAAGGTAGAATGTACTGGTTTTCTGGCACTGAAAAAAAACCCAAATACCACATTCTCCTAAGGTGCATTAGCAGAAGCCACTGGTCCATCCTGACAACAGTAACTAGATCTTAACAATGTTTTTGTCTGGGAATTTCCTTATTTTTTTCAGAATGTACCTAAAGATGCTCACATATGAAAACACACTCAACACTTATACTTTCTTCTGCTAGAGACATTATAAATAGATACAGGCTTGATTTGTCAGACATGCTGAGCACTCACAAGTCCCATTAAAGTCAACGGAACATCGGAGTGTTCAGCACCTCAGAAAAAAAGGCAAGATTTTCTATGGTGATTAGTGGTTTGGGATCCCTCATTTTTGGGTTGTCCGGCCTGAGACATCTTAAAGGGGCATAGTTTTCAGAACATGAGCTCCTGTCCTCTGATAATCAAGCCTCTTCCTGGATTCCCACTAGTTCCCACTGAAAACCTTGCCCATCATTTGTAAATTCCACATGAGCTAATGGCCCTTATAAACTGCCTGAGAGTCCCCCTTCAAACACCATGACTGGGCTTCTCTTTGGCTCCAGGCCATCTCTCCCAGCATTGGACCTCTCAGAGTTCTTCAACTCCATCTCCAGGGTGGCTCGGCTCCATTCACCCAGGCTAGCGTGTCTCCCAACAAAGGCTTGCAAGAACCCAGCCAACCACTGATGGGAGTTCTCGGAGGGTCACAGTTTGCAGGGCTATGCTATTGAACTAAGCCCTGTCCCACACCTCTCCAGTATGGAATGGTACCAGTGCTGATGAGACCAAACACAAACCACTTGGGATTTCTTGACCAAGGTGATTTGGAGACTAGACACAAAAAAAAAAAAAAAAAAGTAAGAGACTTTAGAGAGTGTGGAAACCCAGTCATTCTATAAACTGGCTTAATTCATCTGAAACTCCCCTGTCCCCTTCAACTTTGCCGCTCTCTGCTTTTCTACTAAACTCTCTCTGCTTCATGGTTCTCACCCTTTCACCCAATGGGTCTGTTGCATCTGCCAGTTGCATCCTGTCTAACATGCAGATTGAGCACTCTCAGGGGCTGTCTTCTTGGTTTTTTGTTTGCACAGCAAGCTAGCACAATGGGGACCTGATCCTTGACTGGGGGTAACAAGCCTACAAGTTGGGCCTATAAGTCATTTCCTGTCAGTTTCAACTGGACTAGGTTTTAAATGATCCATTTGAATCAAATGGGTCAGTGTGTCATTTCTCTGTGCTTCCTTTCCCCCCCGATCTGTAGCATGGGGACAATGATCCTGATCTCCTGGGAAAGTGTTTTGAAATCTATGTATGCAAAATGCTAGATAAGAGCAAGATTTTATTATTAAAACTCTTAGACCTGGAACAATCTCCCAAGGGAAGCCATGAAAGCCCCTCGCTCAAGGGGTTTAAAGCTGGACTGGATGAGACATTAGGAAATGCACTGTCAGGAATAATCCTGCATTAGCCAAGGGGGATAAACTAGTTATGATCTAACAGCTCATCTTCCATCTCTGGTTTCTCTGATCACATTTAAAATGAACCCCTCCAGCCCCTCCCTGGTATGTACTGCAGCATGTGACAAAGAACTGCTGAAGAGGTTACAGATCAACCAAGGCTGGGCAATTCAAGGGAGGAAAAAACAACCATGCAGTGCAGACAGTGGGGGTGAGGAGGGCTAGCTGGAAAACAAGAAGGGGCGGGGGGGGGGGGGGAAAGGGCATGAGAAACACCTCAATAGCCCTGGACTGTGGGAAAACCAGATTCAGTTCCCTGCTTTGAATTAGGCAGAGCAGGACTTTGAACTCGCATCTCCCCCACCCATGTGCAGGTCCCTACCACTGCGTGGGGGGTGGTCCAGGCAAGCTAGCCAGGACCCGCTGACATTTCCATCACAACGGCTACATTGCCACCAAACGGTTCAGTTTGACCAAGAAAGCATTTCTGGTGGACCACAAGTTGGAACCAAACCGTTCCAGCCAGCTTCAGGGCTGAGTCTCCAGCCCGGCCGCCCCCCAGCCCAGCATCACCCCTGGCTCTCGCTTCTGCTCACCTCCAGGCCAGCTCCTCTCCTTGCAAGCCCAGGCAAGGCTCAGAGAGGTGTCCCGTCCATCTCCCCAGAGGGCTAAGGGTTCACGCCGCCTGGCCCCTGGCTGAGCCCATGTCCCGGAGGGGTCCCTCAGCAGTTGTTTTACTTTCATAACTGAGGCGGCAAGCCCAGGGGTGCCGGGGGCTCTGAACGGCCCGGCCCAGGGGTGCCGGGGGCTCTGAACAGCGTGGCCCAGGGGTGCCGGGGGCTCTGAACGGCCCGGCCCACGGGTGCAGGGGGCTCTGAACGGCCCGGCCCACGGGTGCAGGGGGCTCTGAACTGGCACATATTGAGCCCTGACCACTGGCCAAAACCAGACACCCCTTGGGGTTTATGCAGCCTGAAGACTCAGCCCCCAATGGCCACCCATCTGGACCTCCTCCGAAACCCTCCCCGGAGAGCAAAAGTTGTAGGCGGCTTCCCCTTACATCTGGCCTGTCTCATGAACCCCGCTGCCCCGAAATCGGGCAGGGCTGGAGCCCCCCTTTCCCCTGCTGTGCAACACAGTCCATGCGCCTCCTTCTCCCCGGCTCGGGGTCTGCCTCCCTGTGCATCTCTCCATCCCTTTCCCTCCAGCCCCCCGGCGCCGGGGGCTGCTCCCCGCTCCCTCCCCCAGCTGGGGGCAGAGCCGGGGCTCGCCGAGAGCAGCAGCTCCCCATCACCCCCCCAGCCCGACGCTTTGTCTCCTCCGGGCGGGGAGCTCGGGCGCAGAACGGGGACTCACCCTGTGGCCGGGCACGGCTCCTCGCGGGAAGGCAGAGCAGAGGGAGGCTTCCCCGGCAGCGTCTGTCCGCCCCTCTGGCCAGGAAGCGGGGGGGGGTTGGGGGGGGGGGTTTCTGCCCAGACTCAGCTCTGGGAGCTGCTTCCTGCCAGCTCCCTCCAGCCGCCTTGCTCGTCCTTTTATCACCAGGCTGCTGCCTGTGATTGGCTCCTTGCTTTTCTCCTTTGTGTGAAGCAACCTATAACCCCCAACCTCCTCCGAGCCCCCCCTCACCATTCTCTCTCTGCCCCCCCGCCGCCGCCAAAATAAAACTCCAAGTGGCTTTCCTGGCCTGTCGGCAACGTGAGCCTTGCCAGAGGAGATCTCTCCAGGGCACATGCCTCAGGTCCCTGCCTCTCTCTAGGAGAGCCAGGGCAAACAATCATTCCTCCTCCCCTGCTGTCAAGATGGGGCCGGTTCTCCAAACAGCCCCCACCCCACAAGACCCCCTGGCAAAGTTCTGGGGTTTGGGCTCAGCCATCTCTGGAGAGGCGGTCAGCAGTGCCCTTTGGTAGAGACCCTCAGGCCCACTTAGCAAAGCTATGGGGCACGATTCTCTCTGCTCATTGCGGCCCCCCTGACCCCTCATGGCAGTCCCCCCCCACCCCCAGAAGTTCCCTCCTTCCCATAGCTCCATTCCCAAGTTCCAAGGCTTGCTAAAGCTTGTAGGGATTGGGGGACCACAGGCACAGCTGGGGGGTTGATGCATTGCCTTGGGAGATCCCTCCCCCTAAGGTTCACAGCAGACACGCTCCCTTCCTAAGGATCAGAGAAGGCATCCATCGAAGGTGCTTACTGCTGCCCATCTCCGGGGTGTCTGAGCACCTCACAGGCTTTAATTCATTCACCTTCACGACCTCCCTGTGAAGACAGGAAGCATTATTATCACCCCTCTGCGCTGAGGCACTGAGAGACTAAGTGATTTGCCCAAGGGCACCCAGAAAGTCTGCGCTCAGCTCCAACGGCTCTTTTGAAATTCGCACTTTGTTCACTTCTTTCCAGTGTCACACACCAACCTGTTGTGGAGTTTTGCTTTGTAAATGTATTAAGAACCCCAGTAAAAAACGAGTGATAAAAACGAAGCTTGTTTCACATAATGGTCCCCAAAGGAGCCTCCACAGTAGCATGGTTACGCTGATAGATCTGTACGAGGACTCATACCATTTAAGTACAGTTTGATGCCATGCAGGAAGTCCCTGGTGTGTTTAGATGAAACATCCATCTGCAAACGCACCCGGGTGACCTAAGAGGGGCAGAATTTGTCTACAGAACAAAATGCAAAAAACAGGAATGAATTTCCAGAGGTGTTTAATGGGCGGGGATGTAATAATAAAATAATACATCACACTGATACAGATACAGATCCCACTGTATGGCCTAAAAAACATTTATTACACAAAGTCCTATCCTTCCCCCCTATGACTACAAGGGTGTTAAGGGGCCACTTCACCTTGAATGAGCCCTTGAAATATGTGTTAACAAGTTATACTAAACCATCTGTTCCCCCTTTAGCTGTGACACTGTGAGGATGTTTTCCAGGCCCGAAGAAGAGCTCTGCGTAAGCTCCTAAGTTTGTCTCTTTTATTAAAAAGATATTACCTCATTCACCTTGTCTCTAGTCTCTCTAATATCCTGGGAAACAACATAGCTACAATAACACTGCATACATAACGTTCCCTTATCACTGACACAGCTGAGCTTGACTGGATGGTAAAATTAGATGTTGCTGAGCAAATACAGACACTAAATTACTTGGTTAAGAATATGATCACTATAATAAAGTCCACACAGTGTAAGTTCAGAAATACTACGCATAATCTGGGTAGTGAGACGTAAGAACAGAGCAGGAGATGCCTCATTATGTCGTGAATGCTGCCATGAAAGAGAAGATATCCGAGTGTGAAATCTACAATGAACACAGGAAACACCATGGAAAAGAACCACTGAAAGCACATGAGATTCCTTGTTGCCCCTGGTCCAAATCTGGTGCAGATCTATTGGAAAGAAACAGGAAAGATACTCTGTAGGTCTCTTACTAGTGACTACTACGGGTTTGTTTGTATTTTTAAATGCAACTGAGCTGTTGCAAATCAGACTGGGTAGCAATGTACCATTTGCTCACCAGGGGAGTCTAGATAAGTTCATACCAGAAAATGCCCCACACTTCCCAAATGACTCAATTCAGCAATTCCCTTGGCTAGATCAGTTCAGGTACAACCTCACGACACAGCCAGATGAGTTGGTGGGAAAGTCCACACAAATAGCAAAGGCTTGGGGGCTGAAATCCTGGTCTCATTGACGCCAATGGTAACACTCCTGTTGACTTTAATGGGGCCAGGATTTCATCCTTGAATACTCCCCCCCCCCCCAACCCTAGTGGATTCGAGGCCTCTCTCTTTAGCATTGTTCAAATATCACAACTTCAGAAACTCATGGCCAGAAGGACAAAACCCTTACTACCAACATCTAATATGCTTCTGGAGCCAAAGACAATCAGCCTGAAGCAGTTAGAAAAGAAACTAATACCAGGAAACTAGAACAGAAGAAATACAACAACGCCAAGCTGAGTAAGTGAGAGAGAAGGCTGGATTTCAAACAGAAAGTGTCTAGCAAGTGGCAAAGGCCACAGCTGTAGCAGCCACCCACACCAAGGTGATGTCAGACCCACTGCTGAGGGAGACCCCTGCAGGAGGAATAGAAAACACTGAAACAAAACTCTATCCATGGTACTTATCTGAGCCCTGTGACCCTGCTACCCAGGCACCTCGCAACCTTTAATATACGGATCCCCATCACACCCGTGAGGCAGGGCAGTGCTGCTATCCCATGGCGCAGATGGGGAAATGAGGCACAGAGAGTAGGTCTACACTGCATTGTTAACCTGGGCCTGTGGGACCGGGGCTTGTGGACTCGGTGTTTCCGAGCCCAGGCTTGAGCGTCCACACTGCATTGTCAACGCGGGTCTCCCACATTGCACTCCACAGACCTTCTGACTCAGGTCTGCAGCTTGACCTGCATCCACACTGCAAAATGACCGGGTTTGGATGTGCATCCTAGGGCCCATCCCCTGGTGGGTCCGAGGACCCAGGTCCAAAGGGCTTGCTGATCTAAGTCAGAAAGAGTTGTGTGTGGATGGTAAGGAGGGTTGGGGTCAAACCTGAGTCTGAGCCTTGGTTTACAGATGCAGTGTAGACATATGCAAGGTCACATAGAGAGTCTATGGTTCTTGAGGACATCCAGAACGCAAGCAACTTTGATCAGGTGCTTAGAGAGGAAGCATATCTCCCACGCACACACCAGCATCGAAAAACAGCCAAAGCAGCAAACCCAGTCTCCAGGGCGTGGCCCCACCTCAGCGTGGGAACTGAGCGCAGCAGAAGGAACTGTTCTGAAAAGAAAGAAGCAGCTGTTTGATCAGAAAGCCACTGAGAGCCGTTCCTGACAGACACCCAATACAAAGCAGAATAAGGAAGTTCCAGAGCTGCCCTGTACCTTATGTCATCGTTTGCACCAGCGTGAGGATGTAAATTGTTACCCTTCTGTAGCATTTTGTGCTCCCATTGTGCTGTGTAAGTGATGACAAAAGGTGCAGGGCAATGAAGAATCAGGCCCCTTGGCTCCGGGGTACAGGAGTGCTCTGTACAGGAGATGTGTGTGTATTTGGGTGTGTTTTACTACTTGGCCAGGTCAATTTGTGGGCAGTGGTTTAGGTTTTGTGTTAGGAAGCTGGAAGCATAGCCACTGGCATGAGTCAGACCCCTGCCGTGTCCTAGGGGTGTCCATTTTTGCGCCCTGTGCCATCCTACATGACTGAGACATGGAAACCAATTAATAAATAAAAATACCAGGCTCTTACACAACATGTTTCATCAGATGATTTCAAAGCACTTTACAAAAGAGGCCAGTATCATTAGCGCCGTTTTACAGATGCACAGAGAGGGGAAGAGACTTGCCCAAAGCCCCCTGGCAGGCCAGTGGCAGAGCCAGGACTAGAACCCAGATCTCCTGTGTTACACTGTGGCCCCAAAAGGCCAGGAGCATTCTAGACAAGGGGACCCTCCTCAGCTCATTAATCTGATCTCTGTGTACTGGCTGTTCTCAGGCTGAGTGAATGAATGCACAAAGGGCAGCATGGGTCCGCGTTTATATCATCTGTGTGGGAAGGACCTTAGCTAGAAAGCGTAGCAGCCCACCCCCCTGCTCTGCTCCACACCCCTCTACACCAGGACACCCTTCGTTTTCCACTGTTAAAGGAGTCGGGGGGGTGCTCCGGGGAGACATGTTGTGGGGGGCTCACCCAGGTCTTTGACAGTAGGGTGGGGTTGCAGGTCAGGATTGAAGTGGGGGCAGGGAGGATTGGGGGAAGGACCAGAACAGCAGCGGAAAGGCTCCAGATCAGGAAATTAGGTGCATCGGCAGGAATTGGGGCGAAGGAGCCTTAGCTACCCTGCTAAGACAAAAGGCACTGAGTCGCCCTGCTGCGTGTACGATAAAAGGCATTCAGCATCTCCTCCCCTGTCACACAGGGCACCCTCGAGAGCTCTGTAACCTGGCCTTCTCCCCCTTCACGGGGATCCCAGGCTGGATTCTCATGCCCCATGGCAATTCGTGGTTCCTGCCCTCCTCTCGCAGCCCCAGCAAGGCTCATTCTTCCATCTCAGCCTCCACCGCACCCAGCAAAGCTCCAGAATGATGCTCAGCTCTATTATTTGTTGCTATGGTGACGAGCAAGGTGCCAGGCCTGGTGCATGCTGAACAGCAGAGCTGGGAGGAGGTGGGGGGGGGACGTGTGTAAATCGCATCCCACGTTCACCTGCACACGCTTCTGCCTTCCTGATACTGTCCTGCCCCAGCATCTTCCCCTCCCCAGCAGGACGGACACCATAAACATCCATGCGATGGGACTGGTGCTGGTCAGAGAACTCTCCACCCTGGCCAGAGCCAGCTTTCCGCTGTGTTGTGGCTTCCAGGAGAGACAGAGAACACAGAACAGAGCCAGGATGCCTGGGTTCTATTCCTGGCTCTGCCACTGACTCCTTGGTGTGACCCTGTCACATCTCTCTGTGCCTCAGT